TATATTCAGTATTTGGAGTCTGTGAGCATTATGGTCTATTTTGCCATTACTCATTCTGATATAATAGGTCTAAAGCAGACACAGGTAATGTACAAATGAATATGCATTTCTATATTCCAAAAAAACTTTCTTTATAAAAGCAGGTGGTCAGTGCAGGCTGCAGCGTGTCAATCTATAACTTAAACCATGATGAGAAGAGACTCAGCAGCCAGGCTTTGAAACCACCTTTTCATGTAGCATTCAGGAGAAAAGACTTCCCAAAGAGAATCAAGGAAACGGAAAAATGGGTGGTGATGACATTGGGGTGGGAGACATGAAAGAAGGCCAAAGGACAGCCCTGTGGGAGCACCTCTCTGAAAGAGGACACGGACCTGGACACTGGCTGCCAATTGGATACTAAGGGATTACTTACTTTTTAGGTTATGATAACAGTTTTGTGGTTTTTTTTAAAAGTATCCTTCCATACTGAAATATTTGTGAGTAAAATGATAGGGTATCTGGAGTTTGCCTTGAAATACCTGTTAGAATTGCAGAGCAAGAGAAACAGATGAAACACCATAGGCCTGGAGCCAGCAATTGACAGTGAGTGATGGATGCCACAGGGTTCATTGTAGACTACTCTTCAATATGTATTAAAGTTTTTACAAGTGTTTTTTACTAGAAGTTTTACATTTTGGAATTAGGAGTTAAGCTCAGTGATTTCTAAAAAGTAATTGACGAGGAAGATAGATTCAGAGATGTGCACAGTGAGTGAGTTTGAGGAAGCTATTTGCTTCGAAAGAGAAGGCAGGGCAAGGAAGGGACTTGCTCTTAGAGAGCAAATAGCAGACAGCTTCAAGCCCACGTGTAGTCGCTCCTCACTCCAAGGACATTTTATTTTGTTCCCAGTCCTAAAAGACATTGTCCTACAGCATAGACATACATGGAAGATTTGTTTTAACTCTGTGTATTTGCTGTCAGCATTTGTCTTAATATGGCCAAGGGAGGAGGTTCCCATAATCTCTATAGAGATTTATAGAATGAATTGGAAAACATTAAATTATGCATTACCTTCTGGAAGGTTCTTATACTGGCAAGCCTCTACATCCTTCTTCATACCATCTTTTTATTTTTAATATTTTATTTTTATGTATATGAGTATATTTCCTACATGTGTGTAAGTGCACCCATGTCACGCAATGCCTGCGGAGGTCAAAAGATGGCATTGGATCCCCTGGAACTGGAGTTACAGATGGTTGTTAGCCACCATGGGGATGCTGGGAACCAAACTCAGGTCCTCTGCAAGAGCAGCCAGCGCTCTTAACCACCAGGCCATCTCTCCATTCCCCATACTATATTTTTAAACTAAAAGATTTGGTGTTATATACTGGAGAGTACAGATCAGGAAGGAAAGGAAACTGCTCCCCTTTCAACCCCTAGCACAGGTGTCCAGGGATGGGTGTTATGCTGATTTCTCTAGGCTGGGTACTGAATAATGCATACTTTGCCCTTTATATACTTCAGAGTACTGAGGGGAAAATGGGCTGAGGAACAGGGGCAGTAGTCTTCTCAATTAAATGAGACCTTTAAGGTTTTTCTTAAAATGAATTTTGAAGCAGTATAATTAAGTAAAATTCATTTTATATTGTCCTCATTTTCAGATTGTCTCACTAAAGTTGCAGTGTCTAAAATTGTGTTCTTCCTGATTTGAGTTTTCATTTGATTTACTCCTACGGTTAGTTAATTAGTTACAAACTACATCAGGTAGCCAGGAATAGTGGAACATGCCTGTAAACCTAGCACTCAGAAGGGTAAGGCAGGAGGATCACCACCAGTTTAAAGACAGACTGAGTTAGATTGTGAGTTCCAGTCTGGGCTGTAAAGTAAGACCCTGGCTTGAACAAGCAAGCATACCAACAAAACCCACCATGGGTGAGGGGTGAGGGAGATAAGGCATTTGTGTTTTATGGGGTTTTTTCCAATTTATTTATTTATTTATTTATTTAATGTGTATGAGTGTATTGCCTGCATGTATGTGAATGCACCCGTGTCGTGCAATGCCACGGAGATCAGAAGGGGGCTTCGGATTCCCCTGGAACTGGAGTTAAGGATGGAACGTAGCCACCATGTGGGTGCTGGGAATCGAACCCAGGTCCTCTGCAAGAGCAGTCAGTGCTCTTAACCACTGAGCCATCTCTCCAGCTCCTGTGTTTTATGTTGTATATAATTTTCTGTAAAATCTTTTGTTCTTTGACTTGTAAAAATGCTATCTTTGATAGCCGGGCATGGTGGCGGATTCTTTTAGTCCCAGCATTTGGAAGGCAGAGGCAGGAGGATCTCTGTGAGTTCGAGGCCAGCCTGGTCTACAAAGTGAGTTCCGGCCAGCTGGGGCTATAGGAAGACCCTGTCTCAAACAGACCAAAAATATAAAAAATAAAATGAAAAATGCTATATTTGAAATGTACCTGGGGATGTTAAGTAAAGATCAGTTCATTCCTTGTTTTTGTTTTATTTTTGTTCCCGGGTTGGATAACAATTGGGAGAAGTCGGAGAACAGATACCTGTACCTCCCATGGATCAACAGGTGCACTCTGTTCTACCCACACTGAATTAAGCCAATGATTTGTCATGCCATTTATGTTTTAGCCTTTTGTTTAAAGGTTATTTATTGAAGAGGTTCCCGTTGTACACAGTGTAACTCAAAGTATTCAGACCTAGACCGAAAAACAATCTGTAATTAGCTGACAGATAATTAGCACTTTCAGTATCCCACTTTCATCTTGTAATCATTTACTCTTAAAATGAGCTCAATTATCTTCTGCAATTTACCTGGCTTGTATTTTATTCGTGCGTGCACTTCCGCTGTCTTTTTAAGGAAGAAAATCAGTTTGAGAACTCAGAAGGTGCTGGTAAACTACAAAAAACAGCCAGTGTTTGCATGTGTATTTTTAAAACATGTTCATTTTAGATTAGTGTTGCCAGGCCTTTCCCCTTCTTGTTCTTCTAGGTGTTGTTTTCAAAATGGTAGGATAGGTCCAAAATACTCTTTAGCTGTTTCTCTTTTCGTTTTTAAATTGCTAAGCTTTTTACTTTTCAAGTGTGCTCTAAACTTTATTGTTAAATGGAAATATTAATAATTTCTGAAGCATAATTTCAGTAAAGTATTGATTCTTGTAGTTTCTCTTCTTTCCATCTGAAATCATATAGTGGTTTTCCATTTAATGTATGTTGTTTCTATTTTAGGTTTTTGATAGAAATAAGCATTATTTTGAGTTATTGAGGCAAAAAAGTATCATCAGAATGCCTTCACCTGATTAATGTGAAGAAAGTGGTATAAACATTTAATTTGTAAACAAATGTTGATGTGTGATTTGATAATATACCCTATTGGGCTCTGTATATAATTTATAATTGTTTTTTTACTAAGGTCTTGTTATGTAAAACTGTTCTTCCTGTGGGTTTTCTTCAGTCTATTGCTATCTGATAATTCTTTGTTAATAACGCATAACAAAGTCCTTGTAGAAATAGCATACTTTTCTTAATCTTTGGTAATTGACCTGAACAATACGCTGTCTAACCATAGTTATTAGTTTTGTTGAAACTAGGGAACATCACATTAGTAATACATTGACATTATCTAGTGAAAGGTGAAAAAGTCTATATAAATACATGTCTGGAACAGACCTACAGTTATGGCCCCTGTGCAGTATCATTTATGCCTACTTGGCATTCAGAGACATGCTTTAGTAATGCTTGAACCTTGATGCTGTTATCTTGATTCCCTAGCTAATAGCATTAGCAATGATGTGTTTTCATTTAACATTGAAATTTAGATTATTATTTTAATTTATGTGTATGAGTGTATTGCCTGCATGTATGTAGGTACACTCGTGTCATGCACCTGCAGAGGTCAGAAAAAAGGCATAGGATCCCCTGGAATTGGACAGTTCTTAACCACCATGTGGGTGCTTGGAACCAAACCTGGGTCCTCTGCAAGAGGAGCCAGTGCTCTTAACCACTGAGCCATCTCTCTGGCCCCAAGGTTTAGATCATCAAGTAATTCTTCTGTACTTTTACTTTTCCATTAACTTCTTGTTCAGCCAGGCCAGAATCCATCTGGTGTCCTCCTAAATAAACTTGCTCAGCATTTATAACATTTTTGTTTCTTGTGTAATACTGTATTGCCCTGGTACACTGTCCTAACATAATTACTGAAGTAAATGTCTATTACCTCCATTTCTGTGATTAGAAATCCTAGTACATCTTGCCTGAGTATGTCTGGCTCAGGGTCTCTCACAAGGCTTACAGTCACCTTGGAACCTGTCTCCAGAAAAATTGACTCCACGCTTCTAGCATGGTCGGTGGCAAGCCCTGGCCCCAGCTGTGGACTGGAACCATCTTTGCCATATGCCTCCACATAGGATAATTTACATGGTAGCAGTTACTTCTTTCAGAGCCTAGCAAGCAAGAGTGTGTACCAAGATGACTGCAGTATCTTGTAATCAAATCTCAGAAGTGGCATCTCATCAGTCAGCATTCATTAGAAGTGAGTCACTAGGTCCACCCAGGCTCCTGGGAAGAAGATAAGGTGCAGCATGAGTTACCAGGAAGTGGGAATCTTTGGGGTCCATCTTTTTTTTTTTTTTAAATCATTTATTGAGAATTTCATATGTGCATATAAGGCGTTTTGATCAAATCCATGCCCACTCCTTCCCCTCCAACTCCTCCCATATCTTCTTTGGGGACCATCTTTATAGCTGCTTTGAAACATTGTGTTTCCCTATGCTTAGCTTCCTGTAGTCTCACAATCTTGACATGCTCTTATATAGCGTTAGACTCCATGGGGATGTACAAACCAAGACAGATGAAGGAGTGTTCATTTGAAACACTGCTTGTGTGGCCTTTTCTGTTTATTTAGAATAAGAAACTTCATTAGAACTCCAAGGGTACTATCAAGAAAATGTACAATCAGAATATTTTATACTTGATTCATTATGTAAATTCTGACTTTTTTTTTTCAGGATAGGTAAAGGTTTTCAGGGTGTCATGAAAAGATGGGGATTTAAAGGCCAGCCTGCTTCTCACGGTCAAACAAAGACCCACAGGAGACCTGGAGCCATTTCAACTGGTGTGAGTATGACTGGTGATACTCTTGGGGGAAGATGGGCTTGGGATAGGGTCTCACTCTATAGCCTAGGCTGACCTGGACCTTGCCATGCCCTTCCTGCCTCCGCCTCCTGCATGCTGGGATTACAGGCCTGAGTTACCATATTAGGATAGCAATGCTCTTTTTAACGCTCAGTCTTTCTCTGAGGTCAAGTCACATAATTGTAATCTGTCTTCAGTTGGGTCCTAGTACTTGTCACCCTTTTATGGGTCCTGGCCTTACCCACTTTCCAAAGCGTGCATGCATTGGGCAGTGTTCTCAGTTCCCTCCTCTTTGCTGCCCCATTGCTTTACTTCCTGTATAAACCTGTGGAGCCAACTGCAGCTGGCCCTACTGATTGTTTCACAAACAGTTGTGCAAGGTTGCAAAGGATAGTGTCATGGTACAGAGGAAAGCCTTAGCGAATAAAGAGAGAAATAAACAATAACAGCATAAGAAATGAAGAAAAGGTCCTTTGTGTTAGTAATTGAGTTTCTCCCCTAGAGGTAGGTAGAACATGAACTGCCTAGGGAGGACTTTGAGCAAAACCTTTGGAGCCTCAGTAAATACAAGGTCAACCTCTAAAAGTCGATGATACATTCTATTTCTCTCATGCTAAGGAGTATTGCAACTTAGATACTAAGTTGTTGCCTAACAGATTGTATTATCAACCTGCTTAATTTTTGTCATGTTATCTACTGAAAGGTTAAGAAAAAAAAATCTATACTCAAGAATGCCCGGAAGTAGGCATCAAAATCACTGATGGGAACACAAAATAATATAGCCTTTATAAAAAGGAATGGGACAGAGTCTTGCTAAAACCACATATAAATTTTCTGTGGCACAGCAGACCAACTTGTGGGAATTTCTACTGAAGGTATTATCCCAAAAATGCATTGGAACAAAGTCAGTCATTATAACATTATTTGTAATTATCAAGTGTAACTATCTATCCTGGGAGTTTGGATTATTAAGCTTTGGGATGTCTACTTAATTGACTATGGTACTACTGTAAGAATAAAAGAGAATGGGATCTTTAGGAAGCAATGAAGTGATTTGCAGCTTATTAAGAGGCATACATTTCCTGAAGAAGATCAGGAAGATGAACCAGGATGAGATTACTTCCCTTTGGGGATGGGCAGAAACATTGTAGAAGGGTTTGGCAGTAGCAGGAGTGATACTGGCCCAGGCACACATTTTTGTTCTATTTTTTGCTTCTGGAACCTTGTTAATGTTTTACATATTCAAAATAAAAACATGGGGTGGGAATACAATGTGGGACATAATTGAAAAATGAACCTAAGTGTTTTCAGATGAATAGCAACCCCCATGGAAAACAGCCAATTTAAAAGAGTATTTTACCAGTTCCACCTATGTGAAGATATGTCAAAGGTCCTACTCCACCATGGTTGGCTTCGCTTGGAAGCATGGAGGAAATGATTCCTCTGTGTTGATCCTCTTCTTTGTAGACTGGACACTGGTTCAAGTCCATCTGGTGGGGTCTCCTCGGCCTCCTTGA